ATGTACAATGTGATGAAGAATCAAAATGGATGTTACGTTAAAAATGAAGTCACACAATTTCTACACATCATGTACAGTATTTAAGAACAAAATGCCCAGCATTTAATTTTGTCTATAATTTTTTAGACAGAACGTTTATAATATTACAAATAGTAGGGCTCTTCTTCTTTGTTTAAAAAAATGTTCATTGGAAACTATTTTAACTGACATTTTTCCCAGGAGAAAGATATCATACAACATGTCTTTCTAACTTTCACTGTATATCAAGGAAAACAGGTATATAATATTCACAGCAAAAAAAAAAAAGGGCTACAAATGAGGAGACATGTCTGTCCCAATTTAACTATGTTTCATACATTATAAAATCCACTATCCTCCATTGCTGCATGTCTTACCAGCCATTGCATATGCTGGTAAGCAGCATTTCCTGTGGTCTTTGGCCATATGCTCTACACCCAGATTGAAAAGAATGGGACACAAAATGACACATGGAGTGCTGGCAACATGAAACTCACAAAGGGTTAATGTAGAATACATATAGGCAAATGTTGACAATATTTTTTATTCCAATGTTTGAAAATTAAACACAAAATCATCATTAAGTTTTCACAAAATGAGGCATCTGTCACTTGAAAGAAAAAGAAATATTTCAGAAATATGTTTACAGAAATGTAAAAATATTAGACATCAAGACAGATGTGAACATTTTCAATAACAGGCCCTGTCTGTCAGTCTTCTTCAGAGCTGAAGATCTTACTGTACTCACTTAACATAAGTTCAACTATCTGGTTTTGGTACAGCATGTGGACTGCCATGTTCCCTGTCTCCTTTTCAGGTCTAAGGAGTGTTGGTCCAAATACAATTCCTAAGCTTTGTGTTGACATAAGATTCACGGATTCCTTGGCTGCTATCCTGTTGACGAAAGGGAAGAATTGGTTAAAAATGAGGGATGTCAAAGGAGTCGCTGTTGCATTTGAAGTAGAGACACATTTTACTGATTCTCCTAACACTGATGTTTATTTGGTTAAGTTATCAAAAAGTAAGAAAAGGGGGAGGGAAGAGGCAATATCTGGCAACATGACAAACAGTGAAAGTAAATTCAGTTGCAGACAGCAAGATATGTACTCATTTGAGATTTTTGGGATTGGAATTCAGTTCTTAGGTAGAAAGGCACCAATCCTTAATTTTGTAAAAAATTGTTTTATAATTATGGCTGCCCACTATCTAATTACAAGAATTTGAATAATGAATATTAGGCCCCAAATCAGGCCCTTGAGGTTGAAGGAGGTTTAACTTGTTTGGAGGTTCCAGGATGTAACTTGTCTGCTTCTGCTAGCATGTCCATCTATATAGGTACAGTGTTGGTACTCATGGACAAAATAAATGAAAGATCACATGAAACAGGGTGCAATCACACATGCATTTGCAATGGGTACAAATCACTGGAATGCTCTGACCTATTAAAGTTAGTATGTGAGATAATCCTTGCCTGAAAGGGAGCAACTTTGCAATACTAGGATGGCACTTAGCACATGCTAAACTGCTTGAACATGCATTTGCTCATGTTTTAACTGCACTTAGTAAGTGTTAAGTTGAACATGTGACACCACCTTTCGTTGCTTCTGTTACTTCCAACTCATTCAATTAAGGAATGAAGAAACCGAAAGTAGTTTGAAAGGATAGTGAAATATATACATAACAGTATGTTGGTGTGCATATCCTGACACAACGTTGCTTAAAAGAAAATAAGACCCAACACCTTAACTCAGAGTTTTGGAAACATTGCAACATTAGGCATCTTGATTGCCTATCACATTGAGAAAATGTTGACATTTTGTCTGTATAGAAAAGGCTTTTAGGATTCTTGTAGAGATGACCTGAAGATTTAAGAACAATATTGACGATGGATGTAGTTTAGGTGGCTAGTTTTGAAAGCATGACCATTGGGCTAGATAGATCCTCAACTGACATAAATTCGCAATGTGTAGTGAGTGGGGTTATACAATTTTCTACCAGTTGAGGAGCTTTCCTACAATCATCAGCAATATCCTCTAAACTGAGTGAGTTTAATAATCTTTTAGGAAGTATTTAAGAACTCTAGCCCATGCAGGAAGGTTGATCTAAAGTCACCAAGATTAAGGGACTGTCTAGCAATCTCTACCAGGAAGATCCAATTGAACAAACATCTATTTCCTTAAAAAAACTGTAAATATACTAACTGGGAAAGACTCTAATATATGCTTTCTTTTAAAACAGTTACCTTTACTAATGAATGCAGACTAAAGGCAACTTCAATACTTTATACACTCCCTTGATTTTGTTTGTTTGTTTGTTTTTTCATTTTTGTACATTTTATAACATTTTAGTTTTAACACTTTATCATTCTGCAAGAAAAAGGGGATCAATATCCTGAAAGAACTGCTGGAGCAGTCCTGTATAAATGTGTGTGTGTGTGCGTGTGTGTTTATTTCACATACCTTTTTAAAATCCTGATGGACATTTTTAAAAAGTAGATTTTATTCTGTTCTCTAATACTTTTTAGTGAAGCTATAGTAAGCTATGCTAACAGTCGCAATGAGACATCATCTGTTCTACCCTTTAGAGAAAGGTTCCTTTCCTGTTGGTGGGTGGGTCACGCACTGAAGACCCCCTTGTAGTGGAATCGTGCCAATCGTATAGTTTACAACATTCCTTGAACACAAATGATCGTTTAGACTTTCTGCACATATAAATAGGAAGTATTACTGTAATTCTGTCTCATACTTGTACTGTGGTGTCCATTATACAAAACACTCTCCATATGGCACTTATCAGATTGGCTTAATTATTAGTTTCTTAAAATATAGCATCTTCATTGTAATGAAAAAATATAACCCAAATACATTATTTTTCCACTGTGGCATTATTAACTTACAATGTTCTAGAAGTTGGGAAGAGAAACTACCTGTTAATAGCTTAGGTGCCAATTAAATAAATGTAACAATCTGATAGAGATCACACATTTTGTTCTAGTTGCAAATATTTTTTTCATATGGTCAGTCACTTCCAGAATACAAGAAGCATTTATCATCTGATTAAAAAGGTCTGGATTCTCAGACATGTTTGTATTTCTGCTTAATCTTAAGTATACAAATGGTCGCGTGGATTTCAGTTTAACTTTCCATGTGATAAAAATTCCATATGGAAGTACATGTTTGAGGAATCAGTGCATAAAAGTTTGTATGAATGGGTGAGACAAACCACTGTCAGGTGATGAGTTTGAGGTCAGTCATTGCCAACCAATCCTACCTTTTAATTTACTCAAGTTGCTATGGGCATGTGTACATGTGCATTTAAGCTGGCTTAAATTTGCTGCACAGTAAGTTACTGCATAATAAGCAGGAATAGGCCAGCATCTACAAATACAGGCATTAAAGTGCATTAATGCCTGTGCATTAGTCCCAAGTCAGTCCACACAAACAGTGTTACTGTGCAGTAAGGTTTCTACATGTGTGTTACTGCACAGTATAATCGGGCATAAATTTGATACCTGTGTAATGCAGGTATCAAATTTACACTCACATTGACATAAGTCACATATTTGCTGCACAGTATGGGCATGCATATGTAGACATGTGCCTGTACTGCGCAGTTATTTTGGTTAATGAGCAGTAAATGCACACGTGTATACACACCCAATGTATTGTAAAGTAACATTTCCTTTTGCTTTGCAGTTGCCAAAACAAGGCTTGTTTGGGAAGTCCATTATCCAGAATCGTCAGCACGTGGCCAAGGTAGGTTCCCTTTATCTCCTGTACTGTTTGTGCAGCTGTTGTTAATTGTGTCTGCTCCAATATCTTAACATTCTTCATTCATTCTGACCACTTTAATCTGAATGTCCAGCTTAGGCATCCGGACTGAAAACTGTTTCACTTCCCTTGGATGGACTTGCTGCTGTTCCATGACTCTGATTCTGAGAGGAACAAGCTTAAAACTTAAGGAACAAGTTAGGCAGCTCCACCGTGTCAGTCTTTTACTGTACAAAATTCAGCAAAGAAGAGAAGATGGTGGTAGTTGTGTCCCCAACACTTTGTCCACTAGCCCTGAGGGTGCTTACCTGGAAAACTAAATCCCTCTTCTGCTTGATTTGGAGCAGGGATTTTAACCTGAATTTCTTACAACCCTGGGGAACGCTCTAGTCACCGACCTACTGGACGAAAGGAGTATACCACCTCAACATTGTCCTTTGTACAAGGTAAGCACAGTGGGAATATTTAGACCATGCCTTCCAGGTCAGGAACAATGCATGAGAAAACACATAATGTGTAAAAACTGCTATGGTTTCAGACACTGAGGGCTCAATCCCATTTCATTTTACATGCTTAAATGGCTGTTATGCGGCTGCATAACTGCAATTCAGCTCTGGACATGCAACTGTTCATCTCAGTAGGGTTGTGCTCTGGCTGATCTGATGCTCTCAGGCTGGGTATGTCCTGAAATTTCAGTCTGTCAGAAAATCCGTTCATGGGGGAGAAAGGATGAGACCCTCTTATAGGAAGGTCACTTGCCCAGAGAACAGGAAACCCAGGATCTAAGACCTCCCTCACCCAGAGGGGATTTGAGTCTGCATCTTTGCAAAGTGCTCTAACCACCCATAAGACTAAGTCCAGGCTACCAGCTGGGCATTATCTAGATCAGTGCCACTCAATCTTTCTGCCCCATGGGCCAGGTAAGTGGCATGAGGTCAGTCTGCAGGCTAGATCTCTTGTCAGGTGGGTGTACAGGGTCAGGCTCTAAGTGCCCATATCAAGCCCCATGCACCCAAATGAGGCCCTGCCTGCCCAGGCTGGTTCCAACACTGCCTCAGCCCAGCCTTGCATGCTGGAATCTGGCCCGGTGCTGCCCCAGCCCTGCATGCAAACCCATGCTATCCAGCCTGCTGGATACACCTACAAGTCTGGAAATTGTACACCTAGGCCTACAAGTCTGGAAATTTGGCAGCAGTGGAGAAGCATTAATGCTGCCCACCACTCCCCCACTGTAATACTTAACATGTGGTAACAGGGTAATGCTTAACATGTGGCCTGGTGGCTGGAGCAGTTTGCTGGGAAGCCAGAGATGCAGGCTCAAATCCCCTCTTGGGGGACTCTGAAATCCGTGTCTTTTTGTTCTCTGGGCAAGAGCCGAGCCATGAGGCTATCAGGCCTCATCCTCCTCCCTTCAGCTTCTAGGCAGGGGTGCCTGCTGGGCAATTTCGTCACACAATATCGCCCTGTTATCCTGAGTTGGATATCTGTGTGCATATCAAGTGGCAAAAATGTAGATGACTAGGAAATCTTGTGGGAAATTAGGCACTTAAGGAATTTAGGTATTTCTAGGCTTAAAGAAGATGTTTTGAGGATCTAAACAGGTCTTAAGTTACGTATCTAAATCTTTTGCAGTATAGCTTTCTGTCTCTCTGAGGCAGAATGACTCCCCACACTGGAATCAGCACCCACAACACAAAGGCTTAATCGAAACCCATATGAGAAATTAGTAGTGTTATAATATGGTCTGTTAATTAGGGTTCTGTTCCAAGGTCTGTAACTAATTTTTTGTATTAATCAGGGAAAGTCATTTCACATTTCTGTCCCTCTCCTTTGCTCCTCTCACACTTCCTATATTATCTTTTTAGTTTGTAAGTTCTTTGGGGCAGATACAATCTCTATGAATTTGTACAAAATCTGGCATACAAGAGCCCCATTTTGGTCCTCTACATACACATATAATATTAATAAATATAACATCTTAAATAGCCCCTGGCTGTTTGCGTAACTGTATTGGTATTGCTGAATTGTGGCCACAATAAAAAAGATTACTTTTAGCTAATTTAAATGGTCCAATATAAAATAAAACTACAAGAAAAAGCACAATTATCTGCAAAAGCATTTTTAAATGGTATTTACAATTTGAGGAAAATAATTAAGATTTTATGGCTTTATACCTTTTTTAAAATACAAATATTTACCAGTTATGCCTGCCATATTTTCTTCCATTTACAAAAACAGAAAAACAAAGAATATCCACAATATAAACTACTCCTATAACTGCACAGCGAAATTCTGTTGATTAAGAAAAAAATAGATAAAATGGGCAAGAATTCATGTTTGGCATGAGAAGAAAAAGTGATATACAGCTTACAACATAAACAAGGAAAGGAAATGCCAGAGCTACTTTTTGTCAAGCCCAAATGAAAGGAGCAATGATCCATCAATTTAAGATAATTTCAGAAAGAATCTATAATCCAGTGCTGCAGATGTTGAAACTGTGTCCAAAAAAAGGTGAGCTGTATGCTGTTTTTGCTCAGTTTTTTCTTGCAAAAGGTGAGTTGAATTCCCAACTCAAAGACTGTTTCAAGTTCTTTAAGATCACAAGCCATAAGATAGTTGTACTGAAAAAAAAGATCTCATTATTAATAATAATGAAAAGAAATTAATGATGGATTAAAACTGCATAAGTATCTGATAGAAGGGCTCTAATATCAATGACAGATATATAAGCAAAAATACTTATTTAATTTGTGCTTTGGCTGTTGCCACGGTAACTGGAAACGGAAGCTATGTAACTGAGTGCAGGACAACTATACTCCTCGTGTGGTCATTGTACACTGAGCTTGGCTCTCCAGTCCTCTGTAAACTTACAGCTCTCAGACACTTAACTGTGAAATCATGATTGAGTTTGAAGCTGGAGATGACAAGTCTTCAAATAAGCTGACTGCTAGTAAATGCAGTTCAGTGCTTTCTACTCTTTGTGAGCAACTGAAGAACAGGAAAATAGATCCTACTGGTGACACTGCTTCTCAATCACTTTAAGGCCTACTACTGTTCATGGTCCCCCTCCCTTTCCCCTCAGCCCCGCCAAAAAAAAACTGTTCATGGTACCCCTCCCTTTCCCCTCAGCCCCGCCAAAAAAAAAAATGTTAAGGTAAATCCATTAAATGTTGATAAAGGAAATATTTGATAAAAGTAAAGCTGGCTAATGTGAAAGTGTTTCACTGTCCTCTACTGGATGGAATCAGAACTCTTTGACCTTGTTTCATAAGCCCTTTACAGCAACAAAAGCCTCCAGTTTGGCCCAGATGTAAGGATAGTCTCTGCAAGTCAATATCCATTTTGCTGTTTTGCAAAGTTAATTTTCAGGAATCTGATTCTGTTTCTCTTGAAGTAACTGAGTAACAGATGATCTAAATAATCAAATGTTTCCACTACCGAAACACTGTAGGTAGGTGTAGGCAACCTTTTCCAGCCGCAGGCCAAAATGACCCACCCAGGGTCAGAAGCAGGATGCTGCCAAAGCCCCACACCCACAGGCTGGATCCAAAGGGTCCATAGGCCATAGGCTGCCTAATCCTGTTATAGGTCATATCATCAGCTAGTATAAAAGTCTATCAAGTTCACTGAAGTCAGTGAATTATACCACCAACTCAAGCATGTTACTCTGGGCATTGCTGAGAAGGGAATTTGAGCCATGCCAAAATGTAACAAAAAGAAAAGTAACATCTCTAACTATCAATATTTAGCCCCTTATGTACAATTTGTATCTGTATATACGTGCGCGCGCGTGCGCGCGCATGTGTGTGTGTGTGTGTGTGTGTGTGTTAATACCTGCACGCACGTATGTAAACTATGGAACTCAATGCCACACGGTATTGAGGCCAAGACCTCAGAGAAATAAAGGATAAATAAGAGATTTATCATAAGGATAATAGTTCATGAAAAACTCCATACTACACAACCAAAGAAAAATATGCATGCACGATATATATGACATCTTTCTTCTTGACATACCCGCTCACCTCCTGGAGTTAGGAAGGAAGGCCCTCTATGGACATGTTATGGAGTGGTTCTCAACCTTTTTAGATGAAAGGAACCCCTTGTTAGGTTTGAGGCACTCCTCCATAACTTTTGTGAATTGAGTAGCAATTGTAATAAAACTACTTTATTTATTATAGGGCTTACCTACAGGGAGCAGGCAGCAGGACAGGGGCGTAGCTGGGCAGAAAGAGCTGAGTCTGCCCATATACGCTTATCTCCTCACACCTGAAGCCCGAGCCTGCTTTGATCTGCTTATCTCCTCACATTTCCTGTGGCACCCTTCAAAGGATCTCACAGCACCCCAAGGTACCCTGGCATCCTGGTTGAGACCTATAGCTCTCCATTACAGAGTTTCTTGCATATTTTCCAGGGACTGATACCGAGCACTGTCAAAAACAAGGTACCTGAAGTAGATGGATAGATGCCGTGATTTCATCTGTAAATTCCCATGACCTAGCTCAATGGGTAAAAGACTCTATGTTACATAGATTCACTGTGCCAGTAATTATCCCCACATTAGCTTATATGTGCTTCCTCTACATAGTCAGGTACATAGAAAGTTAATGTTTTAACCTGAAAGACAATCTGTTATGGGCATGTTTCCGTTGCCTGAGATACTGAATGTACTGCTATTAGGTACATCATTGTTAACAGTCCGTTTTGCTTTGCAGTCATTGGCTTTAGGGTAGGCTTTATGTGGTAGTTCCTGATTTTGTGATATTGCAGATCTTCTAATCAGTTCTAATATGTTCACATTTTACTTTTATGATGAACTGATCCTAGTTGAGCATTTTACACTTTCCCCCTAAAAGCTGATTTGCAGAAGTTAAAAAATAGTTGGTATATTTTTATGCTTGGTTTTAGTCACAAGATGTTTGGGAGGGAAGTCATCCAACCTTGAAATAAAATCTTTATTGAAAGTAATTCTACATCCATGCCAGTCAGATGCATTGTAGGATCAGAACAGATGTCCCAGGGGAAAACTATGTGCACCAGACAGGGTTGATTACTTGGACCTCCTGTCAGTTCTTAAGTCACTGACAATGGCTGAGACATTCAGTACAAGTTTGTTTTCTTTATTCGGGAATAAAGTTAATATACTTACCTTAACTGTGCCAAATGTACTGGAAAATAACCTGATAATAAAACGTACCAACCTACAAAGTGATAATGTCTCTGTGTATAAGCACATTTTGACAGGGCTTTTGCAGACTAGTTGTGCAGTGTTAGGAAGGAAGCACATATACAACATGATGCACAGATAGATTATCAGGTTTCCTCTGAATGTGTTTCCTTTTAATTCAAGGCCTATGTTATATGTTTTTCTGATAGACAGCATATTATAGTAAAGTAATTTCCTACGGTAAACTTACTTCAACCCAGCTGTGTGTGTTGTTTTTTCAAGAAGATTGTAAGTGTTGTTTATTATTAAGAAGACAACTGAGGTGTGTGGCATGACTTTCGGAGTCATTTTAAAACACTGACAACAGTAAGTGTCCTTTTATGAAAGGTCAAAGCCTTGTTTTCTGACCATGCAGGGATATTCCATATCGTAAGGGAACTGTGTGCATTTTGTAAGATTACTCAACTCAACCCAAATAGTGAATGTAGCCTTTGCAGAGGACTATCACAATGCTTAACCCCATCTTGAGATACTTACCAATATAATCAATGCAACTGAGCCCCTGGTACCATAAGCCCAATTTATTTAAACTGTTCAGTTTGTTGCAACACAAGGTAGATAAATTTAAAATTTAGTAATAAATTGGGATACTCGATATTTTATGAATGCAAACTAACCCTCATTATTATTTATGTACTTACTTTATGGATGATTTGCTCAGTTGCAGTGCAGTGGTATTCACCAGCTGATGAAGCTAAGTAAATGCAAACACTATCAATTGAATCCCTAGCTTGCTATTTGTTAAATTCGTATACTATGTTTTGTAAGTAGGTTTCTGTGCATGTGTACGTAGTATCTGAGATTTATGCTTTCTAGCTGAATTCCAAAATATTACATTACAATGTATACCCTTTTCAAAATGTACTATGTAGTTTATTCTGTAATGAATATATAATTCAGGAATTACAGGAAATACCTAAACTTTATTAATATAGTTGTAAACTATTTTCTTTCATCACTCTGCTTTACATTCATATTTGGTCCAACTGTTGAACTCAGAACAATACTATATCAGATGAGCAATAGAGAAACCAGGTCAGACACTAAAAGAGAGGTCAGAAATAGTTCAGCCATATTAAGGGCTTGCTCTCACTGAGCCTTTGTAGCTCCTGGCTTACAGAAACTCCATAGGTTTCCTGGACTCTGCAGCTGTGGACACTAATCATTACTCTTTGGGGAAAATCCCTCCTCTTTTGACTCCTTGGGATACAAGATTCAGCATTTAGCACTGCCTCCTTCTCCAAAATAGCCTTTGACTGTGCTCATTGGACTGCTAAATAAAGTAACTGGCAGCTGATAATGACAAATTAGGAATCGGCATCCTCAGGGAATCCCCATACATACCTTATCCTGGGAGTTTGTTGCTGGTGGTCTATACTGGAGCCATGATATTAAAATAATGTCTAAAACAAGTCTGAGGATAGGTTATTACTTGGCTGAAAGGCTAAGAGCTGTGAACAGCTGGAGAAAAGCATTTAATCTAACTGTTGGCTTCATCCTTATTTAATAGGAAGAGATATCAAAGTAACAGTTTGACATAAGCCATCTTTAGTCAACACCCCAAAACTCGGGTAAGAGAATCGTTTCATCTCTTCAGGTGACAAGGCATGGAGGAAAGAATCCGGACTAGTCTTCAGGTGCCTGAAATCATACTTAAACAGATGTTAGGCACCCCAGTCCAAGAAACTGATCTGGGAAGCCTAATCCTGGAGGTGCCTAATTTCATTCAGCACCTCCATTTTGAGTTTAGGCTATCAAATATGTATAGAAACAGCCCTCTCTAAATAGCCAGAGCACCCAGCTGCCACCTGGGTGTAATTTGATCCCATATGGGGCAGACTGAAGCCTAAACTCTCCCTAAATCTCTGGAGATATGCAATCTCTGGGGTTTAACACACAACATCAGCATTGCCTTCACTACAAAGTGCACCATGCATCCAATAACTCATCTGGAGCAGGAGCTCCATACAAGCCTAGTGGGGCACCTATATACAAGCAGTGAGTCTGCTCAGACATTCTGTACTTACAGCGCATTGGAACAAACTCAATTAACCGAGTCTGCTGGAGCATG